CTAAATTACAGATATGCAGACGTGCAGTACCCACCCCATCACCGAAAGCAGTGATGCCAAAATATATATTTTATGACAATTGTCATAGGTGATATTAGTAGGTAGGAGGATTACCTTTGTCATTCTAAATATATTATGATAATTGTATTAGATATTACAGATAATAATTGTGAACTAAAAGTCAATAATATTACATAAAAACTATACTTGGTGTATAGTAAAATAATTATAAGAAATATGTGGGTGTGAAAATTATATGTGGAAGTGTCTTATGTCATAAGTAAAATTTTAGAATTTGTCGCCACTGGCCGAAAGAACTTCTTTCTTCAACCGTCTTTATATTACTTCGATTTGAAAGTATAGAAATATTTTTATAAAAAAGTTCAGTTATAGGTAAACCTGAACTAGATCTGATTATAATATTATTATGTTATATGCTAAAGTACTGTTTAACGGTTTAAAAAAAAGAAAGAAAAATAGTAATTATAAAACTATGATCGAACGCGATACAGGTATGTATAAGTTTGTAACCAAAAGTTTTACTTGTATTAATCAATCAATTATTAAGGGATCGATTTTATCAAATTGAGCAGTTAGTGATATAGGATTTATGCCCTTAGTCCTTACATCATAATAATAGTCCATATTGAATTATTATAGACAGTGAATAATGATCTAGATTTAAAAGAATACATATTATAAAAATTATTGCAATTTACGCAATTTACACACCATACCGACGAGAGAAATACTGCACTGTTGTCGGAGTAGGTAGTGCGTATGAATTCAACCATCATACAACTGAAAAAGCGGGCGTGCAATACGTCGTGTATAAGTACGCATAAATACTACATATACGGAGGTTATTGAAATGCGTATTTAATATTATTTTGAATAAAGAAATGGAAAACGTAATAATTAAAAAGCACATTTACAATTTACCACATTATAATGATTTACGTTCACCAATACTTCATCGACACAGGATAAAGATCAACAAATGATATATACCATATACGTATCTAATCAGTAGGTACTTATTAATCAGTAATAACTATCCAAACATTATTACTAGATGGTACTACGTTTACGTATGATAAGTGAGTACAGCTTAATCTATATTTCTATATTTCTATATCTATATTATTATATAAAAATTCTTTGTTCAATGTTTGTTCAGATTTAACTCAAAATCTATCTATATACGATTTTGATAAATTTTTTTAAAATATTCCTCATGACTCCAAAAGTGTTTTTGGCTATGTTTTGTTCAAATTTTTTAATAAATTCCCATATTTACATATAATTTTATGGGGTATTTCGGATATTCCCACAACCGCCCGCGATAGTATCTAGAACTTTCTAGAAGAGATAAACAAATAGTGGCAATAATGCTGCTATTTTTAGAGKTYCGTGGGCTAGTTTATGCATATTAGCATTGACCATAAATCAATTATAGATATAGAGGTTATTCCAGAAGTATTTGTCTCTTGTTACGCTAAATATCTACCAAATAACCAAACTACAATTTTAATGACATTAACTTTATTATTTTAATTGACCTTTGAAAAAAGGTTTAAAAAAGGGTATTTTTAAATTTTTTAAAGTTAATTCTAATTAAAAAGATAATATTTATTATTTTTTTAAGTGGATGTAATTATATTGTAATTTGTGTAAGGAAAACAATCGAAAAAATATTCATATGCCGCCAAGATATTGAAACAGTTACTCTTAAGCCTGCTTCGTATTTTGAAATAGCAACACTGATTTTCTGGTAATCATTTCATCTATTTATTTTTATGGTAGTTTTTATTTATATACAATGGGTCGCGAACTCGCGAGTACACTGGCACGACAGCCAGGTCGGAAGGTAATAAAACGATTTTGTGTGGAGCTTCAGCTTATGTAAGAAAATTTAATTTAAAAATATTATACAGTTTATTATTATTACAAAAATAATTATTTTTTACACCGCTGGTTATATATACAACTATTATCCAAGAACAGGAAAAAATGTATGGAAAAATATTTTACGTGACAAAACTGCTCACGGATGAAGTTAGTATTTCTAAAATTCTTAAATTCCTTCTAAAAAAGGTAGGTAGATGTTTATGATTACCTTGACTTGAATGATAATGTAGCTTAAATGCATAACTTTAGAATTATTGAAACCGATTTCCAATAAAATCTTCAAAATGATAAAAAATAAAARACTATAATTTTACAACGCATAGAATATCAGTATATATTTTATATATTATGCTCAATAATGTTTAATTCATATTATATCGTAATACGCACACCTCACGTGTCTGATAAAATTAATTAAGTATAAACAGGTTTTTAATAAATATTTCAACTCGAAAAATTGCTAGTAAAATATCTTTAATGAATAAACATATMAATGTGCCCATTTATTCAATTGCACTGCTGTTCATCATTTGTAATATTTTGCGGTTTCTGCGGATCATTTGTTTGGCCAAAACGATTGTGAAAATAAAAAACCGACATTTTTATTTGCTGCCAGAAATCTATTTACTTTCAACAAGATAAAAATAATACTTCCGTATATAAATGCATGTACCATAAGAGAAAACTGTACCGCCAGACAGTATGGTACCGACTGCCGGCATACAAGCATTATATCAGACACGTATTGGAAAACATTTCTATGAACCGACTTATACATTAAATGAAACGGTGTAAAATAGACACTTTAATTCCTTTAAAGGAGACCCGAACAGAACACCTAATCACATARCTAGTCTCATTGACACGTTTAATTAATTTATAAGAACTCTTGAATGGATTTCGATAAAACTCAATTTTGAGTAAATTTGAATTAAATGTATATAATAATAGCCCTTCTTTTGAAAACCAGAATGTCCATTTAACCAAGTAGGTACATATTATAGTATATTTTGGAGTTTATACCTATAGGAAAAAAATATAAATAAACATACGATATTGTACGATTGCAAAACTGAAAATATGAAGAATGGCTATGGAATACAGACGCAGTGCATCTATTTCTAAAGCCGGTCCCACTCGACTAATATAATGAATACTCAACGAATATTCGTCAATCGTTATGCTCAACAAGTAGGTACACGAATCGTCGAGTCGTGTATGAGGTAGGTATTTAATCATCATAAAGCATAACGATTATGTACATAACGCTGAACCACTTCGTGGTTTCTTGATAATATTTTTGGAATTACAATTAATACTAATAGTTATTTACCAAATCATAGTATTTTTTTTAATCTTTTTACCGACATTTATCACTCATTAAACAATGTGTTTTATAGGGTTATGTTTATATATATATATATACTGCATAATAATCTAAAATTATAATATATATTTACAATACGATATTATAGGTATAAATTATACAGTATACATACATGTACATAATATATATATATATATATATATATATATATATATAT